AGCTACTGTTCTTAATTTTAGTTGTGTTACCTAGCTAAAGTTGACTAACGAGTTGGGTTAAACGAAATGTTATCGACTAATATGAAAATGTATGGAAGCCCGCATTTAACGAAAGTTGGGTGGAAAACTGCCTCATTGGAGGCCCACATTTCACAGCAATCGAATGGAGGAACACATGTATAGGTGAAAATTATTATTATGCGATGAAAGGACAAATGTAAATTCAAATCAAGAATTTTAAAATCATATAGAATGTTGCACTAAATTTTTATTTTATTTTTGGCTAAATTACACGTTTAGTCACTCAAATTATACAAACCTTTCACGTTTGCCACCCGAATTACCTTTCTTTCTTATTCATCACTAACTTTACAAATCGTTTCACCGTGGCCACCCGCCGTCCAATTCCGTTAAAATCATCCAACGTGGTAGTCAACCAAAGCCTTTGACCGTTAGTTTGATGACATGGCAATTAAAAAATATTAAAATGTATTTTTCAAACTAAATAATAATATTAAAATATATTAATTCCTAATACAGAGCTAAAGCGCAGAGATTGAAGGCAGCCTCTTCTTTGGCCCTGGGTTTTTTTTTTCCGAAGAGAAATTGAGGCCTCTTCAATTTCGAACACTTGTGGACTCTTCAGCTTGCCGAGGAGCGCTTCCACCACCAGGGTCAATTACAGTTTTGTCGGTCTTAGTACGAAGTGTCGCGTGAGGAATATCATCTTGGTCGGGTCGTTAATTGGAGCGGGAGCGATGAGTTGAACGGATCTTGCTTGTTAGTGGAACATGGAGATCCAGAGCGGCCTCCCCAATTTTCAATTCCTACTCCCAAGGCTTCTATACTTACCCCATTTGTCCCCCAGTCTCGAGAATAATGTCGGAAAGGTCGTTTCTGATAAATGGCTTCAATTTATTTAGGGTTTTGAAACGAAAAGGGAAGAAGAGGAAAGGAGAGGAGATGCTCGACAATGATGATTTGATGCGAGCAGATGAAAAGGAAAACTAGAGTTTCTAGCTTGGGCTCGTAAAAGAGGGGCAAGCCCAAAACAAGTATAATCAACTTAAAAAACAGAACCTTGGGCCGGGTTGAGAAATTGCTACGAGTCTTAGCAGGTTTTTGTTCTTAGCTTGATACAGCACACTAGAACAGAGCAAGACTCTGTATTGCAGATTTCACAACCAGAGTAGAGGAGGAAAGAAATCGACAGAAAGGAAGCCTGTGGAACTTTCCTTCCCAAGCTTGTTGGAACTGGAGCTTCAAAATCTGGCATCCTTAATTTCGGAATCACCAATGATCTTTGACAAAGGATTGCAATTCTGATTTCCCTTTCCATAATCGTCCAACAGTTCCTGCCCCAAACCAAAATCTCGAAACTGCCTTTCCCCGCATCCCAAATCGGCAAACGGAAGTAGATCTTCCACACAGCCGACAACTCGACGATGGAGGGCATGATCGTGAACTCGCTGACCGAGCTTGAGCGCGCTCTGAGCCTTGGCGAGACGAAGCGGTGCGTGGGGTCGACGGAGGACATGATTGACTTTGCCACGTCGGTCCTGTGGCCGGAGCGTGGAATTGGGAGCAAACAAAAAATGATTTTATTTTTTATGTTGAATATATTATTATTTAATTTCCACGTCATCAAACTAACGGTCAAAGAATTTGGTTGACTGCCACGTAGGATGATTTTAACGGGATTGGATGGCCGGTAGCTACGGTGAAACGATTCGTAAAGTTAGTGGCAAATAAGAAAGAAAAACAATTTGGGTGGCAAATGTGAAAGCTTTGTATAATTTGAGTGACCAAACGTGTAATTTAGCCTTTTATTTTTACATAAGGATCTTTATTATACTTTGAAAGATTGGTTACAAAGAGAAATAAAACCTTGACTCAACACAAGATCAAGATAACACAGGAACACAGAATGACATTAAACTATGCCTGGGAAAATACAACAAGGGGAAGCAAGGCACATATTAGTATTAGAGTATTTCGTGCTAAAATTGACTTTTCATCTGTAATACAATATTTTCATACTACTTACCAATGCTAGTTTAAATAGTAGCACTTTGAAATCTTTGCATGGGTGAGTTTGACGTTTTTTTTTTTGGCTAAGGTAGAATGTATTAGATAGGGCATTACACAGAATTAAAAAGAATATAACGGAAATCAGCCATATGCTGATTAGCCGATGCAAGAGCTGTTTTCGCCACGCAATGGACAGCCCTGTTAGTTCTACGGGGAGAAAAAACAAAACGAATGAACGCGAAGGATGCTTTCAGCAATTTGATTTCTTCAAGTATCGCCCCGCCGCGATTGTGATCCAGTATATCCTCCGAAGCTCGCCGAATCACCAATTGCGAATCCCCACAAAAGCAAACAGAAAAAATTCCCCGGGTAAAGCACCAGTCCATTGCATCCCTTAATGCTAGAAGTTCCATTAGAAATGGATCATAGATTTTATTTACGTGATCATAGATTTGCAGCCGCTTAGAAAGTTGTGCTAAAGGTGAGCAAATGTATGTAGGCCAGTTTGGGCCCACGAGCTGAATGCGAGCCTGGAATGGGCCCGTCAATAAGTAGTTCAACAAGCTGTTCTGAAAGCCTTGTTTGGGCCCATTGCCAACTGAAAACACTTCTGCAGATTGCAGCCTGCATTTTCTGTTCACCAAGTGGGATTGGCCTACTGTCCTGAGAAATATAATGGTGTGGGTCTGGGAGGGAGTTCTTGTTCACCAAATGGGATTAGTTCACTATGAACATTGGGATTCTAAGAAGTTTTAAAAGATAAAATACATACGCATAAATAAAACACTTATTAAACAATATATTTACTAATTATGGTTATCACAGACTCTCAAGTTTCAATACAATCTCCTTTAGCTTTTGTTAGAACGTTCACTCTTCAATTTATTATCGCATATGGATTCGCTCCATCTTCACATTCTTTCTAAAAACTCAATTAGACATATATAGGTTAAAATGAAAAAAAAAATAACTCCGAGCTTTTCCTCCCTCTTCACATCGAGGTTTTAATGGGACTCAAGATAGAAAAAGAGTGCAATATGTTAGGCTTTTTTGGGTACAAAGCGAAAAACGTGTTAGTTCATATTCGAAACGAGACGAAATGGTAACGATAAAGATTCTATCACTATGACAATGCCATAACAAACACAAAATCCATTCCACTGATTGATGAATTTTACATAATGGGATTATGGATGCATTTACACGAGGAAACATTTCTATCATAGATATATATAGAGAGAGCATAATTATATATAGGACTTGCCTCCTCCCCTTGCGATTAACAACAAAATGGGAATTGGAGGGAAGGCTAATTAATGAATGATTAAGAGGAGATTACTATGGAGATTACATCCAAAGCTGAGCATTCTTGACCTTGGAGACACTAGCCAACACTTCATAAGGAAGAATGTCTCCAATCACCACCACTCTCTTGCTTTCAAGGTCTACTTTGTATGAGCTCACTCCTGCAAGCATATACAAACATTATCATATATATGTTAATCAACTTTTTTTTTTAATTAAGACCTTGTTACCTAATTGTTAATCATGTGGGAATATGTCGTTTAGGAATATTAATAGGGGTTTACTATGCTCCCATGACTCAGAAAAGGCACAATCACTAGGGATGCCAATTGGGTGGGCTGGTACCTCAAGACTCATACTTAGTCCGTCTAAGCCTCTAAGGTCGTGTATTATCTGTGCGGTTGCTCCGGCTCATTTTTATTGATAATTAAAAAAATTATTTTTAACGATAACAAAGAGAAAATAGTTCATAAATAAAAATTAAATACAATAGTTAGATTGAGTGAGTTCAATTAGTTGAAAGATGAAATGTTATGCTTATAAAGTATCACTCGGTGAAAATATGAGTTAAGATCGGTCAAAATAGAGAAATAAAGATAGATACTGAGACAAATCTTGGCAAAACCGATCAAGAACAGGAAAGGCAAGGGCAAAAATAGTACTCACACCCCGCCTCACGTTGCTGAAATCAAATATTACCCTTCTTAACACGGATCAGATCAAATGATACTCAACGGAACACGTTGAAATTTAAATGGTCATCACTAACAATCACATCATAATAACAATAGGGGTTAATTATATGGTTGGTCACTGAAATTACAAAAAACGTTCATGTTTGGTCATTGGAAATATTTAAATTCAATCTTGATCACTCAAATTAGTTAAATGGTTCAAGTTTGGTCACTCTCCGTCCATTTCCGTTAACTCTAGCTTACGTGGCAGTCAACTTTCATAGTTGACCGTTAAATATGTGACGTGGCAATTAAAAATTATTAAAAATAAATTTTTATATTTTTATATTTTCCACCTCATTATTACATTCATTAAAAAATAAAAAAAATAAAATACCTAATTTCTTTTTTACATTCAAGTCACCGAGCTCGTTGACGGAGTTTTCCTCGGGTTCTCCTTCAATCACGCCGTCGGTGATGGGACTTCGTTCTGGAATTTCCTCACCGCCTTATCAGAAACGATTCGGGAAAAAACCCCAATCTCCCGTCCTTCGATGAACAAACGGTGGTTCTCTGAAGGCCACGGCCCGAGAATCCCTCTTCCGTCAGATCAAATCCCTAGCCGCTACGAATCGCCAGAGCTCCACGAGTGCTTCTTCCACTTCTCGGCCGAATCGATTGCTAAAATCAAATCGAAAACCAACTGCCAATTCCAGACCACCAAGATCTCGTCGTTCCAATCCCTATCCTCATTGGTCTGGCGATACATAACCCGCCCTCGAAATTTCCCTCCGGAGAAGATCGCCGGGTGCCGTCTCGCGACCAACAACAGGTGTAAGGAAGTGGTTAAGCGAAGCAGTGGTAGCTCCCAGAAGATCAATGGGGTCGACGACGTCGTTGAGCCGCAGCGGGAGTTTTGGGTCCAAGAGTTCGCGGGACGCGGCATTTGATGGCGGGTCTGGGAGCCAAGCGGCAGGGCATTTCTAGTTCCAGAGGAGGAGGACGGAGGACGACGAGGACGAGCTGAAATGGGCGGCAATTGAGCACCTCCCCACCTTCGACAGGCTGCGGAAGGGGGTTCTGAAGCATGTAGCCGACGGCGGTGCAGGGGAAGTTGAGCTGCAGAAAATTGACATGGGGAAGCTCGGCGGAACAGAGAGGAAGCTGCTGATTGAAAGCCTTCTGAAAGTCGCGGAAGAGGACAACGAGAAGCTGCTGCGTCGGATCCGGCACAGGACCGATGCCGTCGGGATTAAGATTCCAACGGTGGAGATTCGGTTTGAGGGTCTCTCTGTTGAAGGCGATGGGTATGTCGGAACCAGCGCTCTTCCCACTATGCTCAATTTCGTGGTGAACACTGTTCAGGTATGTGCTTAAATTCATCCCCTGCTCTATTCGCCAGCTGTAAGGAAGGGAAGGATGAATCCTCCCCTGCATCTTGACTACTTCGGGAACTCGATTAATCCGATGAGGACCTCCGCCCCGGCGGGGGAGCTACTGGGGAACTGTTGGGCATAGGACTCGGGCCTAACCACGCCAAGGAACCGGGCGCAACTGGATGAGACCCCAACACGGCAGCGCGAGGACCCCGAGTGTGCCGCCTCATCGTGGCTAACCACGTCCAGGCGCGAAGAGATGACAGGCGCTAGGGGAGGACTAGCGTAGGCTGAACCAGAAGATGAGGGAAGCGCACCTCTTCCAAGCGGGTAGTCACATCAGGGCCATGAGTGGATCTCTGACTCATCCTAGGTAGAGGGATGGCCTAAAAGCCTTAGTATGCTAGTGGTCACATCATTGTATCCCAGTAGTCACATCACTGTATCTCTCCCTATGTCAACCACTCACCCACCACCATGAAGCCTATAAATATGGCATTTACTACGGTGGGTGAGGGGATCGCATTTTTCACCATTCTCTCTCTACAAGAACTACTTCTCTTTCTAATCTCTCTCTTACTCACTCTCTCTGATTCTGATTCCTCCGATCAAACCCGGCTCTCACGTTTCTTCTCGACCCAAACTCTCATTCGAACCTCACTCCTACACTCAGTTAGGTTCAAACAATTGGCGCCCACCGTGGGGCCGAGAGGAAACGCTGAAAAAGACCCACCAATGGCAGAGCGCAATCTCGAACAACCTGACCAAGCAACGCCGATCAAGGCGATGACTGACCCAAGGGCGTTCGCAGAAGCCAGCAACCTCAACGCGGTACTCATCGAGGAAGAAGAACCGGAGCTGACGCCCAAAGAAATGAGGGAGCTGTTGACGAAACAAAACAACGTCATAGCCGACGTGCAGAGACAAATGAGCCAGGTAATCGCGCTCATGATGAGCAAGGAAGGCGCGCCAACGACGGACGCGACAACGAGCGCGCCTCAACAAGCCTTGGGAGAAACTTCAGGGACAATCCTGTCGTCGCAACTCGCGCCAGCGGAACTTCCCGCACGCGGGACACAGGAAGTCGAACCACCGGGGCGGGCAGACCTCAGCTTCTTGGAGCAACACCTGACTCCGCAATACCGGCCCAACCCGCCCAAAAGGACCCTACACCAGCCATTGAGCGCGCAAATAATGGCAGAGAACCTAACCGGAGCGCCACCAACCCTCCCGACATACAACGGCACTACCGACCCGGAGGACCACGTGAGCACCTTCTGCCTGCGCATGCAACTCCAAACCAACTCCAACGCCGCGCTATGCAGAACCTTCCCCTCGACATTCACCGGGATATGCCTCGATTGGTACAACCGCCTCCCCAATGGAATCATCAACTCGTTTGAGGAGTTCATACTTCTGTTCACCACCAAATTCGCGTCCCAGAAGCGACGCCCCCTCCACCTCAAGGCCCTGATAGATATCAGGCAAAAAGACAGAGAAAGCCTGAGGGCTTTCTACGCCAGATGGTCCCGGGTAGCAATGTCCGTTCGCGACCTTACTCCCGAAACAGCCGCCCATCACCTCATGGAGGCAACCAACAACATGGAGCTCAAACGGGCCTTAGCAAAAAGGCCCGTCACGCTGTCGACGGAGTTGGAGATGAAGATCGAGAAGGCAATCACGTTGGAAGAAACCTTGGGGGCGGGATCCGTCAGGCGCTTCGAACCGGCGAGAATGTCGCGAGAGGAACAGACGCGTCGACAACCCCCGACCCCAATCCCACGGGACCAACTACTACAGATGCACAGTGGTCCGAAGCGCAACCCCCCTCCCCCACCAGAGCAGGGACAGCGCGGGCGATCGCCAGACAGGCGCGTATCCAATGCCTACACGCCCCTCAATGACTCCGTGAGAAACGTGTTCCACGTCCTCCGCGAGAAAGGATACAAGCTTAACTGGCCTGCCCCGCTGAAGTCTCAACCCTACATGCGCGACCCGAGCAGGCATTGTGAATTCCACAGAGCAACGGGGCATAAGACAGAAGAATGCCGAGAGTTACGGTACGAAATAGAGGGCCTCGTACGACGAGGGTTGCTAACTGAGTTCACCCACGTGAAAAAGGAGCAAGTCGAAGCGCCGCAACAACCTCCCCCACCCCCACAAGCCGATTACGACGATGACACTGGCGCGTATGTAGTGCGCAAAGAAATCGGGGTGGTAACGGTCGAAGGAGATCGTCCCAAGAAGAAAACCAAGCGTGAGCGCGCAACGGAATGCGCGGCTGTCGACGCACCGCCAAAGTTCAATCTGAGCTTCGGCGACGCGGAGTTCCCACAAGGAATCCCGTCGGAGGAGCCACTCATCGTCACCGCGCTGATTGCCGCCTGCAAGACCCACCGTCTCCTGATAGACGGGGGTAGTGCGGCCGACATCCTCTTCCAGAGTACCATCAACAAAATGGATATCGATCCGCGCCTAATCAGGCGCGCACACGGCAACTTAGTTGGTTTCTCCGGAACCAGAGTCCCGGTAATTGGAGTGGTCACCCTACCAGTGGTTATTGGGGACCAGGAGCCCCGCGTCTCCAAGCAGATAGAGTTCACAATCGTCGATTGCGAATCGGCGCACAATGGCATCTTGGGCCGACCTTTCCTCGCGAAGTTCATGGCCCTCCCATCGACGTGTCACCAGAAGCTCAAGTTTCCAACACAGGGAGGAGTCGGGGAGGCGCGAGGAACGACTTGGGAAGACCGCGTTGTGGCACGCCAAACCAACATCGTCGACACAAGAGCAGAAGAGCCCCGCCCGGAATCCATGGATTCCGATTTCGAGGTCGCGCTAGACCCTGCCGAGCCGACCAGGAAGATACGCATCTCCACTCACGTCAGCAGCGACGCAATCGAACCACTCATAGCGCTGCTGAAGGAGTACAAGGAGCTCTTCGCGTGGTGCACAGAGGACATGCCAGGAGTGCCCAGGGAGGTAGCGCAGCATAGCCTCGCGGTCCCAGCCGACGCCGAACCAAGGCAACAAGGGCGGAGAACGTTCACCGGGGACAAGCTGAAGGCGATAGAAGAGGAGGTTGCGCGCCTGCTAGCAGCCGGACTGATCCGCCCCGTGAAGTACCCGAAGTGGCTGGCGAACGTGGTCCTGGTCAAAAAATCGTCAGGAGCCTGGCGGATGTGCGTTGACTACACCACAATCAACAAAGTATGCCCGGGAGACCCTTACCCCCTGCCGCGCATCGACCAGCTGATCGACGCGACCGCCGACCACGAGACGTTGTCCTTCCTCGACATGTTCTCAGGATATCACCAAATCCAAATGTCCAAGGAAGATGAAGAAAAAACAGCTTTCATGACACCTTTCGGGAACTTCTGCTTCGTAGGTATGCCGTTCGGGTTGAAAAACGCGGGCGCGACATACCAACGAATGATCGACGCAGTTTTCTCGCAGCAAATCGGGCGGAACATCGAGGCGTATGTGGACGACCTCATCGTCAAAACCAAGGCGGGTAAGTCACACCTGGAGGACCTGCGCGAGACCTTCGAAGCCCTCCGCAAGCACAGCCTTCGCCTCAATCCACTCAAGTGCGTCTTTGGAGCAGAGGCGGGGAAATTTCTGGGGTTCATGATAACCAAGCGCGGCATAGAGGTCGATCCGAAGCAAATCACCGCGGTCCAACAACTACGAGCGCCGCGGAACGCATTGGAAATCCAATCTCTGAACGGCAAGATAGCGGCACTAGGGAGGTTCATACCAAGGTCCGCTGACAAATGCGCGCCCTTCTTCCAGACACTCAAGAACGGGACGCGCTTCGCATGGTCCACGGAATGCGAAGCGGCCTTCCAGGAATTAAAGGCGTATCTTGTATCCCCCCCTGTACTGACCGCTCCCAAGCTTAATGAAAAACTTTTCTTGTATCTCGCCGTGTCAACAAGAGCCGTGAGCGCGGTTCTGATATCTAGGAGGGATGGCAGGACTGAGCAACCAGTGTATTACACCTCGCGCACTCTCGTTAGCGCGGAAACAAGATATTCCTCGATCGAGAAAGCTGCCCTGGCGTTAGTGAGCGCTTCGCAGAAACTGCGCCCGTACTTTCAAGCGCACCAGGTCACCGTCCTGACCAACCTGCCACTAAAAAAGATTCTGACTTCAATGGAAGTGTCGGGGCGCATGGTCAAATGGGCGGTGGAGCTCTCGGAGTACGATATTCAATACGCGCCGAGGCCAGCAATCAAGGCCCAAATCTTAGCGGACTTCATCGCGGAAGGGGTGACCCTCGAAACAACGCCGGAGGGCGTTTGGGAAGTCTATGTCGATGGAGCGGCAAGTAAGCATGGCGCCGGAGCAGGGGTTGTGGTGCGCACACCTGCCGGCGTAATGCACGAAATCGCAATCAGGTTCAGGGCGTTGAAGACAAACAACGCCGCGGAATACGAGGCCATCTTGGCAGGAATGACGGCCGCTCACGACCTCGGGGCAAGAACGGTGCGTATACTTTCCGACTCCTCCCTGGCGGTCAACCAACTGAATGGTGCGTTCGACGCAAAGGAAGACACACTGGCGCATTACATGGAGCGCGTTAAGCAGAGGGCCACAACATTCGAATCAGTAACGTATGCACAGATACCAAGGGAGGAAAATGCGCATGCCGACGCGCTATCCAAGCTAGCAACGGCTACAGACTTCGAATCGACGCGCCTCGTGTCCGTCCAAAAAGAAGAAGATGAAACCACCCCGGGGGTAGCAGTCAACACGACCCAGCTCGTGCCATACGAAGATTGGAGACATCCAATTATGAAGTACCTCCAAGAGGGGGTGGTGCCAGAAGACCCCAAGCAAGCTTGGGCTCTAAGGCAAAAGGCAGCTCGTTGCACGCTTATCGAGGGAGAATTATACCGAAGGTCGTACTCGGGTGTATACCTCAAATGCATTGGGCAGGAGGAGGCGCACGACCTAGTGCGTGAACTACACGAGGGGCTGTGCGCAATGCACGCG